AAAATCAAAACAAAACATTGGATATGGAAATTTATCTCTCTCTTTGATTTTATAAGGAAGAAAATCAAAAGAAAAAAATGGATATTGAAAATTTCCTCTCTCTGATTCTGCTAGTTCAATGTATTTTTCACTTTCCCAAATCATTCATCCACAAAATCACTAATTGATTCTTTTCCCACTACAATATATTTAGATTGAGATGAATAAAGGGGAGGGAAGGGGAAGGGAGTCTTTTGCATTACTTTTTCTTTAATTAATTAATTAATTAATTTAAATGAGAAGAGAGGAAGAGATCAAAGGAAAAAGCAATGGAAAGATAAAATTCTCCTTTTTTTTATTCTTTTCAATCCAAACATATTGTTAATCACTCAAAATCACACAAACCCTCACTCTAATATTCCTAGAAATCTTCTACCCTACAATTTTCTAATCATGGCAGTCACGATAATTGCAAGTTTTTCCTCTTTTTTCCTTAGCTTAATTCTTTCCACCGCCGCTACCACAGCCAAAACCAGTGGTTTTAGTGTGGAGTTGATCCACCGTGATTCTCCTAAGTCTCCCTTCTACAACCCCTTAGAAAGTCCTTCTCAAAGAGTTGCCAATGCCTTGCGCCATTCTATTAGCCGTACCCATCACTTTCTTTCTTCCGGAAAGAACGACGCACCTAGGTCCAACATCATTTCCAATGCCGGTCAATACTTGATGAACATATCCCTTGGGACCCCTCCCTTTCCAATTCTGGCCATTGCAGATACTGGAAGTGACTTGGTTTGGACACAATGTGAGCCTTGTCAGTGTTATAAACAGGACGCTCCTTTTTACAACCCTAATTCTTCCTCCACATACAAAACCATTCCTTGCTCTGCAACGCAATGTAAGAAACTACAAGGAACCTCTTGCTCTGACGAATTCGATCCAGAATCTACTTGCATTTATTCAGTTACTTATGGTGACCAATCCTTTACAAACGGGGATCTTGCCTTGGATACAATTACCTTAAGTTCCACAAGTGGCCAGCCAGTGGCTCTTCCTAACATAACCGTTGGTTGCGGAAATAACAATGATGGAACCTTCAATGAGAGGGGGTCCGGTATTATTGGACTTGGAGCTGGTGATTTGTCTCTAATTTCTCAGATGGGAAAGTCCATAGGTGGTAAATTCTCTTATTGCTTGGTGCCACTCACTGCCACTATTGGATCCTCAAGCAAGATAAACTTTGGCTCTAATGGCATTGTTTCTGGGCCCGAAGCAGTCTCTACTCCCTTGGTTAGGAAAACCTCAGATTCCTTCTATTACTTAACCTTAGAAGGTATCAGTGTTGATGGTGAAAGAATAAATGTCAGTGGTTCATTTGCATTGTCGAAAGGCAACATTGTCATAGACTCTGGCACTCCCTTGACAGTGTTACCAACCAATTTCTTCGCACTGCTAAAGGACGCGGTGTCAAGCAAGATCAATGCAACACAATCAGAATCTACAGTGCAAGGTTTGCAACTCTGCTACGACAATTCTGAGCGTGATATTAAGGTTCCAGATATTACAGTCCATTTCACAAGTGCTGATGTGAAGCTAAAACCTCTGAACACTTTTGTTCAAGTGAACAAGAAGCTCATATGCTTTTCTTTCATAGGAAGGGATGGTGGTGCTCCTCCCATCTATGGAAACTTGGTGCAAATGAATTTCTTGGTTGGATATGATACTCAGGAGCAGACTGTGTCGTTTAAGCCGACGGATTGTACCAAAGCATAATTCATCATCTCTATTTTGTGTATGTAACGCACCTACCTTAAGGGTCCTATGTGAACTTGTGATTTGCCTAGCCAGGGCTTAAACAATGCAAATGAGGGTTTTAACAACATGTGATTATGCATAAATTAAAGATTCAAAACAAACATAAAACAAAGCTCATGAAAAATCCTTTACGTGCTTGCCTTTAATCTTTACAAACTTGCACACAGAACAAAAGTTTTGGTAATACAATGATTTACCAACACAACCTGTAGTGGATAACTTCTAGTCCCAAAAAGAATTCCTAACAAGCTTTAAAATTATTTTGGCTTTGATCAGATCAAGGGTGGAGAGTGAGAGATGGCAATCGAAGGGTTAGGGGCTGAGATTTTGAACTGGGGTTTTAGGGCTTCTGCTGTCCTGACAAAAAAGGGTTGTTTACTGATGATGCGATTTTTTTGGAGTAAGCAGACAGAGTGAAGAGAGAGTTTTCTGGGTTCTGATCGTAGGATTTCTTTGTAATCGAGCATATAGAACTTGAATTCGAAGGTGAAGAATCAAAATTTCATCTATAATTCAACTCCCAACTAGCAATACAGAGAGGATATCTATTCAACCTCAGGTATTTATTTATTTATTTATTTTATTATTATTATTTTGGCATAAAATAAAGTTTGGATTTGAGGTCGCAGGACCGAACCAATATTGGGTCTCCTTTAGTTTGGTTTCCTGCTTTGTTCTATATTCTACAATTAGCCTTTTAGATTGCAAATTCATGGTTTATCTGATTTGAGGGTATGAGTTTATACTTTGTGTTTAAATCCTGAACTTGATGAGAGTTTTAAGACTTTCATTGTTTACCAGTTCCTATCTCCTAGTTTCAGTAGGAGGATAAGCTTAAAAAAAAAAAAAAAATCGAATCAGGGGCTGACCCAACATTGGGTTCCCATTTTTATTTTCTCCAGGTGACTGTTTTGTTGGCCAGTTGAATTGAGATTCATCCCTTTGTCCCCTAAATTCTTTTTTTGTGAATTCGTTGGCTCTATTGGGTGGTTTAGTCTTTCTGCGAATCAATCTTGACATGTTTTCTTTCAATTCATGAGTTTTGAGTTTAAATTATGTGTTATATCATGTTTTGATTTGTACTGTTTAAAAAAAATTACTAAGTTAAACTTTAGTATTTTTAGTTGTATCCTTGTTGCATAATATACTTTGGCAGTTATTTTCTTCAAATCATCATTAAATGTGACTGTTTTATTAGGTTGTATATGGGTTTTCATTTGTTTCCACCTTTATAAATATTTCCTCTGTTTGTTTTTATTGTTCATTAGTATAGGTTTATGTTCTACAGTCATTATTGGTAATCCATTTTTACATGATAGGGAGTTTATGGTTTGCCTTGTTGCGAGCATCTCATCATTCTATGGCCATCAAACTACTTTAAACTATGTTCTCCTCGAATGAAAATGGGGCTGCTGCATCACTTTGTTCATGAGAACACTTTAAGAGCAAAGATTAAATGGCGTGTGTCTTTATGCATATCACTTCTTAATCTCCCCTATAAATTTACACAAATCCTCACTCTAATATTCCCAAAAATTTTCTCCCCTACAATATTCTAGTCTTGGCAATCCTGGTACTCGCAAGTTTTTTTTCCTTTTTCCTCAGCTTAATTCTTTCTACCACCACTGCCACAGCCAAAACCAATGGTTTTAGTGTGGAGTTGATCCATCGTGATTCTCCCAAGTCACCCTTCTACAACCCCTCAGAGATTCCTTCTCAAAGAGTTGCCAAGGCCTTGGGTCGTTCTATTAGCCGTACCCATCACTTTCTTTCAACCAAAAAGACCGACACGCCTAGCTCCAGCATCATTTCCAACTCCGGTGAATACTTAATGAATATATCACTCGGGACCCCGCCGTTCCCGATTTTAGTCATTGCAGATACCGGAGGTGACTTGATTTGGACACAATGCAAGCCTTTTCCTGATTGTTACAAGCAGGATGCTCCTCTTTACAACCCTAAATCTTCCTCCACATACAAAACCATTCCTTACTCTGCAAGACAATGTGAGGAATGACAAGGAACCTCTTGCTCTGGTGAATCCGAATCAGGATCTACTTGCATTTATTCGGCTGCATATGGTGACCAATCTTTTTCAAAAGGGGATCTTGCCTTGGATACAATCACCTTAAGTTCCACAAGTGGTCGGCCGGTGGCTCTTCCTAAAACAATCTCTGGCTGCGGCCATAACAATGATGGAACCTTCAACGAGAAAGGGTCCGATATTATTGGACTAGGTGGTGGTGATGTGTCTTTAATTTCCCAGATGGGAAAGTCCAAAGGTGGTAAAATTCTCCTATTGCTTGGTGCCACTCACTGCCACTACTAGATCCCCAAGCAAGATAAACTTTTGCTCTAATTGCATTGTTTCCGGGACTGGAGTAGTCTCTGCTCCCTTGGTTAAGAAAACCCCAGACACCTTCTATTTCCTAACCTTAGAAGGTATCAGTGTTGATGATGAAACAATAGATTTCTTAGGTTCGTCCGTAGGATCGGAAGGCAACATCATCATAGACTCTGGCACTACCCTGACACTGTTACCCTCTGATTTCTACGCATCGCTGGAGGATGCGGTGTCAAGCAAGATCAATGCAACGCCAGTAGAATCTCCAATGCAAGGTTTGCAACTCTGCTACGATAATT